CGCAGTCACATGAATGGCATCAACACCAGCCAATCTATTATCTTTCTTGATAGTGTTATGAAGTTCTACAGAAGGCGATGACTTCATTAAAAGGGAAGATGTCTCCAGCAGGCACTGTTTTTGAAGAAGTTCATACCTACGTCTTGAATCCAAAATCTATCACCATGGGGCAGCTGTATGGCGAGTTCGATCTCATGACACATGAATGGTAAGAGTTAGGAGACATACCATCATATTACACCATACCATACCATACCATACCATAAATAAAGTTAGTTTGGTTTAGGTTTGCCCGCTTAGTAACACTGGTCTACCATGCCATGCCATGCCATATACCATACCATACCATACCATACCACGCCACACCATACCACACTTTACCATACCTTCTCAAATTCATTAATAATTCATGATAATTCAGCCAATGATAATCACCTATTTGATCACAAGATGCCATTTGGATAACGTTCCATTGCACTCTCCGCGAGTGCAATGGAATAAAACGTATAGTACAATTGCACTCTTTGTGTTTTCGATAAATCGCATCACTCAAAATGCTTCTTATACGAATCTATTGTCTATTTTGGTATTATATAAAACAAATAATGAATGTTTCTTCGTGCAATGGTAAGAATATGTTCATTCGGTGAAAGATGGAATGTTCCATTCAACTCGGCTGTCGCCTCGTTGAATGGAACATTCCATCTTTCACCTCATGAAAATATTCTTGCCATTGCACTCATAAACATTCATTATTTGTATACTATACCACACCATACCATACCATACCATACCATACCGTACCGTACCATACCATACCACACCATACCATACCATACCATACCACACCATACCACACCATACCACACCACACCACACTGCACCACACCATACCATACCATACCATACCATACCATACCATACCATACCACACTCTTATTTATCTTCATTTCTTTACCCTGAAGGACGGATGGTATTCTTTCTTCAATGATTCGTGATGGTAGTGCCAGTTCAACCTCAGATAAGAAATGGTATTTATTTGATGGACCTGTGGACGCCGTGTGGATTGAGAACATGAACACTGTCTTAGATGATAACAAAAAACTGTGTTTGACAAGCGGAGAAATTATTAAACTTACCGAGGTATAGTCTGGTTTCCATATGGTCGTAACGGTCGTAAAGATTGAGTCACGATCTTTCTCATCAGCCGAAATACAACATTTTAGAACTGAGAATACGTGGAGTGATTATAACTAGAGAATACTTATGATTTATATGTGGTTTACAGGTATAAACTATTATAAACTGGCCGTTGAGAAAGATCGTGACTCTATTACACACGTAAGAACACACAAGTTGTAACAAACCTGCAGCAGACTTGTAGCAATGCTGTTCCATCAACTTGTCAACAGGATGTGTTCGCACTGCTTGTTCCCAGCTTGTTGACAATTTGCCACAAGGTTGTTGAGCTCAACAGACTTGTTACAAGTTGTTCTACAACTTGTTGTTGTCCTGCAATTCAACAATTTGTCAACAAGTTGTGAGTGACAACCTTGTAGCAACTTGATAAAATAACAGCATTGTTACAACTTGTTGACAAGCTTGCTACAAGCCTGTTGCGAACACATCTTGTTGACAAGTTGTGAAATTTTTACGTGTATACATATAATGAAATGAATAAGCATTATTTTCTCATTCTCATCTTTGAACAAGCATTTGCTGCACTCCAGTGCTTAGTAAAACCCGCCTGTCCTGACATACATATGAAATACAAGATGTTCTTTCCTTACAGTCAATGACAATGATGTTTGAAGTACAAGATCTGGCCGTGGCGTCGCCAGCTACAGTCAGTCGTTGTGGCATGGTTTATTTGGAACCCAGTATCCTTGGCCTTCAGCCGTTTGTTGACTGTTGGTTACGAAAACTACCAGACTCCGTGTTTGATCACAGAGATTCTTTCAAGTCTCTGTTTGATAAATTTTTGGAAGTATGTAGAGTATTTGTTTCTTCATGTTCTGAAATAAATTTGTACTGGATAGCTCAATGAATTCTGAACTGTTCTCGCTAGAGGTCCGGTAAGAGTCATCTCTTATTGACCCAGTGTTATTACAGGAGGAAACCTAAACTAAACTAACTTTATTCATACTGGATAGCTCTATCAGTTCTAAACTGTTTTTCCTAGATGTCCAGTAAGGATCATCTCTTATTGATCCAGTGTTACTACAGGAGGAAACCTAAACTAGATTAACTTTATTTATACTGGATAGTTCTATCAGTTCTAAACTGTTTTTCCTAGAGGTCCAGTAAGAGTCATCTCTTATTGATCCAGTGTTACTACAGGAGGAAACCTTTATATATAAACCTGATAGCTCTATCAGTTCTAAACTGTTCACCCTTGAGGTCCAGTAAGATCATATCTTATCGATCCAGCTAGTGTTACTACCGAAAGAAACCTAAACTATAATAACCTTATTTATACTGGATAGCTCGGTCAGATCTAAACTGTTCTTCCTTGAGGTCCAGTAAGATCATCTCTTATTCATCCAGTGTTACTATAGGAGGAAACCTAAACTAAACTAACTTTGTTTATACTGGATAGCTCTATCAGTTCTAAACTGTTCTCCCTAGAGGTCAATGTACAAACCGCGGCATGCCACCCAAATTTGATCCAATTTTTAAGATATAATAATCAAAGCTACCACTATTTTAGGTCAGCATCAAATTCTTGAGAAAACAGCTAAAAGAGTTCGTCCCATCTGTGGACAGCAATGTCTGCTTCAGTCTTATGAACATACTGGATTCATTCTTTGCTCCTTTTAATCCACGCGAGGTAGGGACCTGAATATAAACTATAATAATTGAAGTATTATTCATGAAATTAACAAGCTTTGAACAATTAAAGTTTTTAAGTTCATGAAGACGAGATATAATTACAGATACGTTTCACTTTTTGTAGTGAAGATCTAAAGCTCTTTCTCTTCTTTAGGGTGTGACAATACCACAAGAGAATTTGGACCAACTTGAACAGTTGATCGAACCCTGGTTCATCTTTGCTTTGATCTGGTCCGTTGGCGCGACCTGTGATGGCGACAGTCGACATAAGTTTAGCAAGTTCCTACGTGAGAAAATGGAACAAGAAAATGTATGTTATTTATACTGGATAGCTCTATCAGTTCTTCCTAGAGGCCAAATAAGAGTCATTTCTTATTGATCCAGTGTTACTACAGGAGGAAACCTAAACTAAACTAACTTTATTTATACTGGATAGCTCTATCAGTTCTGAACTGTTCTTCCTGGAGGTCCAGTAAGGATCATCTCTTATTGATCCAGTGTTACTACGTACAGGAGGAAACCTAAACTAAACTAACTTTATTTATACTGGAGAGCTCTATCAGTTCTGAACTGTTCTTCCTAGAGGTCCAGTAAGGATAATCTCTTATTGATCCAGTGTTACTACAGGATGAAACCTAAACTAAACTAACTTTATTTATACTGGAGAGCTCTATCAGTTCTAAACTGTTCTTCCTAGAGGTCCAGTAAGGATAATCTCTTATTGATCCAGTGTTACTGCAGGAGGAAACCTAAACTAAACTAACTTTATTTATACTGGATAGCTCTATCAGTTCTAAACTGTTCTTCCTAGAGTTCCAGTAAGGAT